ACAGAGAGAGAGTAAAATTCTTGCAAGGACATTAGGAATGTGATAAAAGTATAAAGGAAAAGAATTCGATAACGAAGGAGACACAAGAATTAAGAAAGGGTATCAATAATTAAGGGTAGAAGAACTGCACTCAGCATATTTAATGTATATATGTCACGTAGACATAATTGTAAGAAAGCCGGAATATACAAAATGTTGAAGGGCTACGGATTCCATTGGATTGAATATTTTATTTTCCCGTTGAATTAAAAAAAATCACTAGTTTCAAGATGAATTTCATTTACGGTTTAATAGAATATAGTGAAACTTCTTAAACAATCAAATAAGTCTTAATTAGAATGTTTTGTCGCCAGGGGTTCACTTTACACGGAGTCGGCTGTGTTTCATTAACTCTGAAGTAAGAGAATCCTCCGCGTCCGAAAGCCCTGGCCCGCCATCATACGTAAGTGAACGAAAGAAACGGCGTCCTCTATCGGGTTAATCCTCAAGGATTTCAGAAAGGAAGACCCTAGCGTGCCCTCTCGAATCCTAACTTGCTCTGCCTCCTCAGACCCTCCACGAACGCCCATCGCCGCGGAAACTAACAAAAAGGAAAAGGAAAAATGTCCCTTAAGCGACCGCTCTTAGAATTCAGGCCGCGATGCTTTTTTCCGATGCAACCGATATCCAAGGACGCGCTCCCACGCAGAGTGGAACAGTGAAGAACACCCAAGAGCAAAATAAAAGGAACTGATTTAAAAAATCTCATCGTGCATAAAAAAAGCATTAAATTAGAGCGGAGTTGCTTACTTCCCACACGGGTTTAACTTTGAAACTTCAGTGAGTGAGGGAGTGATTAAGTATTCAGACCGGATCAATGCCAAAAATGCATGCACAAGAATTCAGAATACGGACATTGGGCAAGATTCTTTCGCGAATATAACTATTGAGACTGGACACTGTTTGCCTGTGACAATCTTCGATCTTTTCTCAAAGTCTCAGCAAATTTAAAAATAAATAAGTTTCCTAGATGTTGATATGTGTATTACTGATATCTTTAACATTATTCAATTAGATGCCTACTATGTACAGTAAATTGTATTATTATTATATTTATTATTTATTATTATTATTATTATTATTATTATTTTATTAATTATAATAATTATTATTAAATTATTAATTATTAGTGTTCGTTTTGTGTTGTTATTATTAATAAATTGTTTTTATACTATTATATTATTTTGTGCAATGGCGTGCAGTGTAGTAGCGTTAAGAACATTGAAGAAACGTGTGTGAAAGAAAGACATACAGCTCAGTGATCCGCAGTGCGATGAAGTGAAGAGAGGTGAAATGAGTGCTATGAAAGATTGCACGGTAAAAAGGTTCAGCTTAATTTCTAAAGTTGGTACATTTTGTAAAGGTGTCAAGTTCTGTATTGTTAAGTTAGTGTATTGTACCACCACGGTTCTTCAAACTGTATTGCTGCATTAATAATATAAATGTAATCTATTGTTCCGACAGTGTCGAACACAATGGTCATTAGTGAAGAGTAGTGCGTAGTCAATCTCAGACTCTTGATTTTAAATTATTTCAAAATTATTATTGTAACATTTTATCCATTTAACCTCTGATGTTCTTTTAATTAAGTTGCTTTAAAATAACGTTTGCTTCCCACTAACTCTTACAACTTGTAGATACATTAAATTAAATTTTAAATAACATTACATTTGGTAATTTTACTATATTAATACATTACTTCTGTATATTTGTGACATGTGGTCAGGCGAAAGAGCGGGCCGATGGCCCGAGCCTCGCCATATTATAAAGCATATTTAATTATTATTATTATTATTATTATTATTTTATTATTTTATTATTATTATTATTATTATTATTATTATTATTAATTATTATTTCGCGAGAGGGGGCGCGTGACATCCGGCGGCGACCTACGGTTCGCTTGCGGGCTTCCCTTCTCCTGTCACCTTCTCCGCATGTCTTGACATGTCGCAATATTACAAATCGTCCTAAAAACTGAAAATAGACGTTACATGGAAAAGAAGAGCTTTGAATTTTGTCTTAATATTTCCACAAGGGTTCACAACGGTGTAGAGACCCCATAGAGAAAAGGGCTGTGTAAAGTGCGGAACTGAACCGCTCGTCACCGACCGGCTACTTGTCGGTCCGCAGTAATTACTCGAGTGCGTTCCGCAAACCGGTCGGTTGTGCTCGGGGTTTGAGATTACCCGCTATCCCGTGCATTTCTCATCATTCCTTTTGCTTCCGAATCCCTCCATACCTCAAACTTCAATATTTTCTTTACCAATTCTACGACCATCTGCTCTTTCCGCCCGCGACAGTCTTCTCTTTTCACCCGCTTCGTGCTAGTCTCCGCCGTCACACATTCGTCTACCGCTGTTTTGGTGGTTTCTCAACACTTTCAAGAATTTTAGGCAAGTTCGTCCGTGCAGGAGAGTAACATACCTCAAAATCGTTATCTTATTAGTTAAGTGAAGCAATATATTTACAAATTTGTTTATATTTTTCGAAACATTCATAAATATTTGTTCACTAAACAGTGCTGAAATAGACCAATTGCAATAACTCAGCGGTAACTACAATAATTTGTTGCCTCTGCAGAATCGGTTCCAGGAAACCCTTCGATTTCGAGTACAGGCATTATAGGGTTTTTGACAAACAGTTCCAGTCTCTAATAGTTATATTCGCGAAAGAATCTTGTCCAACGTCCGTTTTCTGAATTCTTGTGCATGATTTTTTTGTATGTGATCCGGTCTGAATACTTATTCACTCCCTCACCTACTGAAGTTTCAAAGTAAAACCCGTGTGGGAAGTAAGCAACTCCGCTCTAATTTAATGATTTTTTTTATGCACGATGAGAATTTTTTAAATCAGTTCCTTTTATTTTGCTCTTTGGGTGTTCTTCACTGTTCCACTCTGCGTGGGAGCGCGTCCTTGGAATTCGGTGCATCGGAAAAGGGCATCGCGGCCTGAATTCTAAGAGCGGTCGCTTTAAGGGACATTTTTCCTTTTCCTTTTTTAGTTTCCGCGGCGATGGGGCGTTCGTGGGAGGGTCTGAGGGAGGCAGAGCAAGTTAGGATTCGAGAGGGCACGCTAGGGTCTTCCTTTCTTGAAATCCTTGGAGGATTAACCCGATAGAGGACGCCGTTTCTTTCGTCACTTACGTAATGATGCGGGCCAGGGCTTTCGGACGGCGGAGATTCTCTTACTTCAGAGTAATGAAACACAGCCGACTCCGGTTAAAGTGAACCCCTGGCGACAAACATTCTAATTAAGACTATTTGATTGTTTAAGAAGTTCACTATATTCTATTAACCGTAAATGAAATTCATCTTGAAACTATGATTTTTTTTATTTCAACGGGAAAATAAAATATTCAATCCAATGGAATCCGTAGCCCCTTCAACATTTTGTATATTCCGGCTTTCTCTACAATTTATTCTACGTGACATATATACATTAAATATGCTAGTGCAGTTCTTCTACCCTTAATTATTGATACCCTTTCTTAATTCTTGTGTCTCCTTCGTTATCGAATTCTTTTCCTTCTATACTTTTATCACATTCCTAATGTCCTTGCAAGAATAT